GAAAGAAAGAAAGAAAGAAAGAAAGAAAGAAAGAAAGAAAGAAAGAAAGAAAGAAAGAAAGAAAGAAAGAAAGAAAGAAAGAAAGAAAGAAATATACTTGAAGATCCGTTGTTAGAATCATGTTGTAATTATAGTTTAATCCCAGCACATCTCTGCTCACTCACTCTGACACGTTTCTATTAATACTAACCAAGTTGAAAAAAGCCAAATCTTCTTAGTAATATTTTGTAAATGACTAAAGGCTTCCTGACACTCATACAGTAACTCAGCCTGTGTGTGTGTGAGTCAGTTCAGAGGGCAAAATGTGTATGTGCGTGATACCCATTTAAGGTCACTGCCTAAACCTCTTGAACAGCCTCAGAATAACTGACATACCAAGCAATACGATAACCACGAGTGCACCCAGGAGGGGCTGGATGTGTTGAGAACCTGCACAAGTGCAAACAGTCATGTTGGACAGCAAAGAATGGAAAGAATCTCATCAGAAGTCAGAATGTAAACTTTAGGATAAGAAGAGGAGCAGTGGTGGTCACAGTCCCCCTAAAGCACTGGGCTTTTGCTAATTTTAAAATTAATGGATTAATACTTGCTAAATTTAAAGGTTAAATTTTAAAAGCACTAACTCAGGTCTTTAAATGTTACTGCTCAATGTTAATATTAACATTAACATAACTGAGGGTGAAAGCTGTCACACATTTTGTTACACTGTACGTGTTTCACTTATAGGTGACAATATATGGACTCAAATACAGCTGTGGAATGTCATTGCTGAGTCTTAAGAGAGCAACATGGCAATATGTGACTCGTTGTGTGTTGAAGAATGTTCATGGGCTGACTGGGTTATTTTAGTGCTTTAGAATTAGCTTTTGCTAAAACGTTCAGTGTGTTAGTGCTTTAGAATTAGGGGACCTTGAGTTAGTGTTTTAGAGCTAGTGGAACTCATTTTTTTACATCAGTGCCGCCCACCACTGAAGAGGAGAGGAAAATCAGGTGGTGTTTGGTTGTCCTTCTACACTTGAGTTACAAAGTACCAAACCAGCAGGTTACAGATCCCATAAAACGACTGCTGAGCCACTTGTTGGTTATTTATCTGATGCAACATCCCATCAACTGTTTTATTTACAGCAGTGACTGGGGTTAGGCTGGAAGTCAAAAATGTCAAATTGATAACATGTTACTATTTGAATAAAAATGTCACACGTTCTTCAGTGAGTGATGGTCGGTCCAGTTCTTCCCACTGTTGCTTCTCTGCGTTCAGGACGGATGATTGCACCGAAGTGAGGTTTCAACACCAAGCGAAAATGTAAAACTGACAAATTAACATGTGTCCATCAGATATAATCACTAGGGCTGTGAAATTAATTGAGTTAACTCAAATTGATTAATTTGTAAAATGAAAGTGATTGATTTTTTTAACCCATTCATGCATGCACTCAGTGACCCTAAGGATTTCCCACCATTCATTGCGATCTACTTATAGATGGAGGAAGAAAGAATTATTGGCCCTGTCAATGGAAAATTTGAATTTAAAAGGAATAAAGATGTAATTGTTGGAAAACACATTGCCATTTGCACATACTGCAGAAAGGAATTTGCATTTCACCGAAACACCTCYACAAGCTCACTGCCACTATGGATTGCCAAGGATTGTAGACCCGTCAATACAGTTGAGGATGGAGAGTTACTGTGTGGCATGATTTATTGTTGTTCCTTATACAGTGGGTAATATAAGTATTGAACACGTCAACATTTTTCWCAGTAAATATATTACTAGAGGTGCTAATAACATGAAATGTTCACCAGATGTTGATAACAACCCAAGTGATCCATACATACAAAGAAATCAAACCATAAGTGTCCAGAAATGAAGTTATTTGTAATAATGTGGAATGGCACAGGGAAAAAGTATTGAACACACTTACTGAAATTTATCTAATACTTGGTACAAAAGCCTTTGTTGTCAATGACAGCTTCAAGACGCCTCCTGTATGGAGAAACTAGTGGCATGCAT